CATGTTATACACTCATTCAGGGTTGTATTTTTTTGTACACAATTATATGTATTTACACAAGAGATTTTTTTCTGCTTTAATTTAATTTTTAATTGTTTCGCCTTTTCACTTGATAGCTATGTTTATTTGCCTTAGTCATTGCGAAAAAACATAAACAATTTTTATTTATTTATAAATGTTACACACATTTTACACTGATACCCTAATATTTCCACCACTGTATTTCTTCTCATTTCTTTTTTACTTTTTGAGCACACACGACACGCACGCACACACTCAAACAAATTCTTAGCAAAGCCGTATATATTCACATACAACAGCAGCAGACGACAAAATAGCGAAAAATTGATTTTCTCTCACTGTCGCAAATTGGCAACTTTCCCCTCTTTTTTGTTAATATCTCGTCACGTCTTTGATATTCCCCAACCACTCACTCGGTCACATATATGATGCGATTTTTTTGTGTTCGAGAAGTTAAGATTTAATATTTTATAGCCACCTCTAAGCAACAATTAGCGTATAAATTTGCGTTTTAATATTTTTTCGTTTCTTTTTTTGATTTTTTCCATTTTCTCTTGTTATTCACTTTGTTGCAACTATAGTTGTCACTTTCTTGTTGTCGGCAAAAATGCACCCACACACTCGTATTTGTATAGACTTGGGAGTACACATACGCACACATACACGCTCGAACATGTAGCAACAATCAACCTTGTCAAAAATTTTTTCTTCTGAACATTAGCGAATATTGATGAAAATTCACGGAGATACATCACAACGTTTTAGTTTTGAGTTTATTTTCTCATTGTTTAATTTCACAAAAACACTTTTAAACTTTCAGAATGTCTTTTCGACTTTGCTTCGCAAGTTCTCAGAGCCAGATAGTCTTCTGCAAAATTGATTCAATTCGGTGTAACTAGTCATTTCTTTTTGAAACAGAGTTGCCGTCGTCGCTTAAAATCGGTGATATGCTGTTAGTTTGACTTTTCAATGTTGTACGATATATCTGAAGTTTCATTTGGAATACATTTGTTTCGACATAGTTTTTTTTATAAATTAAATTATTTCATTATATACTTTATATATTATTTAGTTAATATAAAAGTATATAAAAACCCTTAGAAAGCATATCAAAATGCATAACGATTAGAAAATCATTATAGCGTTGTGACTGTTAGAACTGTTATAAACTAAAGGGGAAAACACATTCGAAGATTCAAGGACTAAGCAGCATGTTCGCGTTTGTTGTTATTGCGTTAACGCATGCAAAAATTTAAAATATATTTAACTCCGAAGCGCAACGCACATCAATTTCAAGCGATTGTACTATCGTTTCCCTGTGGTCGTTGGCTTAAAGCGAACATTCTGCTTAGCCTTTCAGGCCTGGCATGTTAAGTTGGCTTTGTATGAAATGTCAATTTATAAAGGAATATAAAAGCGGATTTACATATAACATTTGATCATGATTAAAGGACGAATCAGGGTTTATTTTCTTAATCAGGCTAAAACTCCTTGTACATTAGAACTTTTTTACCGGGTTAACCTACTTTATGAGGATTTATTTGACATATATGCAAAGGAAATGACACTTGAAACCCACTGGGTTAACGAAATCTGGTTAAATGTAAACGTACTATAAATTTACCATGATTTACCATACAAAATTAAATCATCGTACGGCATGGTTTATTTTTTAATCATGATCGAAATCATGATACTACTGAAATGCAACGCGGTTTTTGTGCTAAAAAATACAACTCTCTCACAATGTACCAAAATTTCTGGATTTAGTTAATCGACTCGATTCAAAATTGTATATGTAGATATACTTTAAGAGTCTAACTTGAATTTGGACGCCGTTCTCCTTTTTTTTTACAATAAAAGAAACTAACTTAACATCCGAATCCTGAAGTCCTCTCATCTCTTTCCCCCTTAAATTTGTTTCGGTATAGTTTTTTATATACAACATCCACTCGATCTCAATTGACAATTTCATTGCGTATACATCAGTTATAATCCACGGGATTTATATCCTATGGAATTGACATTTGAAATCGAGTGAATTTAAAGTAAATTTACATATACGATTTTAAATCGACTCGATTAATGAAATCCAGAACTTTTTACCGGGTTAACCTACTCTATGAAGATTTATTTGACATATATGCAATGAAATTGATCATTTAAACCCACTGTGTAACGAAATCCGGTAAAATGTAAACGCGGTATAAGCTTTCAGAATTGAAATGTACGCACAACACGTGTTCAGTGGCAATAATTATAAAATGTTTAATATCTTGAAGTTCCCAGCGTCTGTAATCTTTAAATATAAGTTGTAACATCTATAGTTATATCTTAAGAGCAATATTTATAAAATTGGAGATATTTATTTACAGAAAGTATACATTTGTATTTTTTTAAATATGCCATTCGACATGCAAGAAATTTTATGGAATTTATCAAGGTAGATGTATTAGGTAGTCGCATCGACCCAGTTGTTTGTAACATTAAATGTCAAAACAAATTGTTGTAAATTTTAATTCGCCTTAAATAAAAAAATTTAAATAACATTTGAATTTCGTAAATTTTTCCAATTTTACTTCGAGAACACTCGGTAGTAAAAATGTATTTGAGATCTTTTAAACAAAATCTTGGTCAATTTGACCCTCTAAATATTGACCGATCATCATGAAAACATCCGTACTTCTTCGGTGGCCAGTCCTATAACTCATAATTTCGTGGTTTTCGGTCAAAATTATGGTCTGCAAATATAAACCAATCACTACCAAAACAAACAGAAGCCGAATCTACATGCAAAATCTCCAGAATTCAACAATCGTTATAATCTGATTGCCAATTATAATGGAGAGACGGACACATGTCTACAATGATTCTGCTAGTTGAGCGATGATAAACGATATACGAAAAGGATCTAGAATCAATTGGTTTGTTCCCGTACTGCAAGAATCTACTACTTTTTACTACGATAACGAATTTTCCTTTATAATATCGAAGAAAATAGTAAAATCGAGTAGATTCTTGCAGTACGGGAACAGACCAAATATATCGTGCAGCAACAAACTCTTGAGGCAACACATACTTATAAGTCTTGATTTAGATTAGGCGAGTTTACTTGCGGCAAGTCTTTGTTTGTAGGAGAGAGGGGCAAAGGGAATAGAAATGGAAAAAAAAATTGCTCCTACCGACAATTTTCTGGCAATTCGTTTTGTGTTTTTTGTATTTTTTGACATTTTATATTTATTTAAATGTGAAAAACTATTTGAAATTTTGAAACAAATAAAAATTTTTTTTTTTTTGAAACCGAATTGCCTTGTATAGACGCATGAAGCAAGTTCAAAAGAGAACGATAAGAATTGCCGCAAGTAAACTCGCCTAATCTAAATCAAGACTAACATAGAGGTATAGGGAATAAAAACATTTTGTTCTGATTGGTTGAATCATTCATTCAAGTCATTCTGTAATTTAACATATTTTTAACATTTTACCAAAAAAGCGAAAAATGACTGAAATGTAAAGTTGTCTTTTCAAAATTGTTGTTTCATTCACAAAGCATACACATCTTCTTACAAATGTTGTAAAATTCTTCTTCAAACCAATCAATTTCCAAATATATTTTGTTATATTTTTCAAAACATTACACACACAATCCCATATTCTGTATATGACTTTGGCATAACAAGCCACAATATGAAAAAATTATAATATGTAAGTTGCTATGGCCTACCTTACGGTACATTTACATTGTCATCATAAAGAAGGTTAACCCTGCAAAAGGTTTTAAAGTACATGTCGTTTTAAATAATTGTAGCATGGTTAGTCCCCTTTTCCACAGGCAAATTTTTATTTGGCAAATTCTGAGTTTGTAGGCGAGAGGAGTGCGAGGAAGAAAAACAAAACTTTGCCTCTTCAGAATTTGCGGTACACGCAAATTCTGCTTTGCTCTTTTCGTTGAAAACAATTTTGAGGACATTTGCTTTTAACCTATTCGTTTTGCTGACACACATCCGGCTTTTGTTTACAAACCTGTTGAAAAGCAAACGAAAATTTCAAAAGAGAAAACAAAAAATTTGCCAAATAACAATTTGTCTGTGGAAAAGGGGACTTAAATTCATTTAACCAAAATCAGTGAATCTGTTGTTAAATGAGCCCTTATTTTTATATGTTATGCTGTTAGTTTTTCTGTGCATATAACATTTTTATGTATGTCAAAACTTGTACTTTGCATACATATTTTACTATTATTTGCATACCTTTATATGCATTTTTGTTTTAAACGAAAAAGTACATCCCTGGCTTAACTTGTAAAGGCGGCAAGTCCATATTTCACAATTTTTCAGGAGAGACAAAAAACAATCAAACTTTATTTTGAATAAAGATTTTTTAAATCTGTAAATGCAATTTGTTTTTGTATTGTATGTGTAATTTAATTGGGTAATGGCAAAATGAAAAAAATAAGTATTTGCGGAGATACACGCCTTTTTTGGGACTTAGAGCTTTTTCTGTCGCTAAATTGACATGTTTTAATGTACTTAAGACTTAAGTCTTTTCTCGAAAATTGGACTTGTTGCCTTTACAAGTTAAGCCAGCGATATATGTGTTTTAATAGATTCACTTTTTCACAGTATTCACACATGGGAAATTTGACAATACATATGACATTGATGACTCCTTTGACAATGGTTAAATAGTTCCGTTCGTTCATTTTGTGGAATTTGTATCATTGTCAGATGATGTCCACTCCACAGTCGATATTTATGCCTCACACTCATTCGTAAACAAAACAACATATCGTCGATTCCATTTTATGTTTGATCTTTATCAGCAATTATCTCGCATCACCCCGTATTCATTGTATGTGGAACGTTTTTAAATTCGGTCGGTTCAAATACCACGGCCAACATAACTTTGGAAATACAAATAATTAAAAGGGAATAGTGAACACCAAATACACACAAACAATCAATCTATTGCAATTTCAAATGGCAGACACAGCAGATAAGAAAAATTTGTCTATAATCAGGGATCCTAATACTGCAATGAATCGAATATTTATTGGTAACTTACCGGTATGTACACGTGAAGAATTGGAGAGTATCTGTCTGCCGTATGGGAAAGTTTTGGCGACACTAGTCCAGAAGAATTTTGGTTTCGTTCAATTTGAATCGGAGGAAATAGCCAATAAAGTGGCAAAAGCATTGAAAAAATCTACATTCAAGGGGCATACAATCACTGTACGCAATGCAAATAAAAAGAAGCCAGCTGGGCAACAGCAACAAGTTGGCAATGCGGGGAATACTGCAGGAAATTCTGGACAGGGAAATAATGTCACTGCAGGAAATTGGAATCAAAATCCAGTCGTACCTGCAAGCGCGGACGATGATAACGGTTACAATGGTGGTTATAATGACTGTGAGATCATAGTGGTGGATCGTAAAAATACGTAAGTACTTGACAGATTCCTACCTATTGAAGTATTTGTGATTACATATTTATACGATTTATTTACACAGTAAATATGCAGAAATGATTGAGGAACGTCTGAAAAGATTAAATTTACGAGTTGATGTCTTATTTCCCAATGAAGATGTACCTCTGGGTAAAGTGGTATGTAATGTTAATGTAAATGAACAGGCACTTGCTAATTCTTCAAATTTATTGACAGCTTTCTAATATAGCATCGCGTGGATGTTTATATGCCATATTAGTCACAAATCAGCACGAGGAACACAATAGCATAACCGTAAACATTTTATATGGGCAACCGGCAGAACATCGCAACATGCCAGTGGAAGATGCAATTTCTCTAATGGCAGAAGATTTCCGCAGAAAAATGATGCGTGACAAAATAGCGGGTGTACAACAACCCAATCAACTCCACACCGGTAATTTACCAAATCCTGTGCCGATAATACCGGCCGCACCCAATTATATTGCTCCCCCTTTAAAAGAACGACACCCCGATGCTATACAAAGTCTTCTGAATCTTCTGGCCAACAATATGCCACTGACCGTATTACAATACGATCGTATAATTAAATATTTGCAAGACAGACGTCTATTGCAATTGAAAGTAGAATTGGGAGATGCCGAGGAGGCGTCACTCAATCAAGGAACACCAGATCCCGAAATTGAACTACAAAAGAAAATATTGACTATTTTGAATAAACCATCTGTGGCGGAAACCCATTACGATCTAATGTACCCATCGCTAGATGCAGTCAAAAGTGATATACGGCTCTTGGCGCTGCTAAAAGATGGGCGAGTTCAGAAAGCTATCGACACATTGATGGACAGTAGTTTAGTGCCAACCATAGAAAATCTTATGAAGTTCTAAACTTAGGGTTTCAAAGAATAATTTTAGAATATAATAATAAAAAAATAGTATGTACGATTATCTATAACAAAACAAAGAAAACATGTGTATTTATTAGGATCTTTAATTAAGTGGGGGTGTTTTAAGGCCAGGATTGTTTGGCTTCGTTACCAACATATTTGCCACGATATTTCAGACCAGTTACCAATGTCGAACTCTTGGGGAAAGCAGATTGACCGTTGAATTTGGTATCAGTTTCCGAATTGAATCTGAGATAATCAAATTGTATGTGTAGATTTTCGGGAAGTTCCATTGTCTTCAAAGCATCAAGTGGTACTGTTGTGTTTACAGAGGTTTCATAGAATTTAATTACATCACCTAATCATGGAAAACAAAACAAATATTTATTGCATTGCATATTCAAGATGCTCATTTTGAATACATACCAACTGTTTGCATTTCGTAAATCTGCGAATTTGGAACACTGTGTTTGAAATCGGCAAAACAAGCTTCTAAAAACTTGAATTTCTCTTCCAATGATTTTAGCCGGTAATCGGTCTTACTGGAAATCTGTAGTGATCCGCAAATAGCTCGAACTTTGTCGGCGGCATCAGCAGGTGCACTATATGGCTTGTGAGGTCTCAAAAATCTAAGGGAAATATATATTTTTAATATGGATAATTTGCTATTTTATATTAGTTGTACCCTTTGTCAGCTAATGACTGACCCATAGCATCAATTTGACTAGTTTTTGGCTTGGTTGAATAACAACATTTTTGTTCGGCACCCTAGAAGTTTTAATAAAATTACCACTAAATATTATAAGAACATCACTCTGTAAGAGAATTGTTAAATAGCGAATTTAGACAATGCATTTATAATCGTCTCGGCTTCAAACCTGAGATAAAAGAATCCCAACTGTTTAGTCTGCTTTTCCACATGCAAATTTTTATTTGGCAAATACTGAGTTTGTAGGCGAGAGGGGTGCGAGGAAGAAAAACAAAAATTTGCCTGTTCAGAATTTGTCGTACACGCAAATTCTGCTTTGCTCTGTTCGTTGAAAACAATTTTGTTGACATTTCCTTTTGAACCTATTCGCTTTACTGACACACAGCCGGCTTTTGTTTACAAACCTGTTGCTTTAATTTGTGCAAGTGAAATTTAATTTTTAATTTTTGCAATTTATATAATAAAATATATAAAAAAATAAATAAAATATTAAAAAAAATCTTTAAAATGCAAACACTTTTGACTTTTATTTTCTTTCTTTTGTATTTTGATTCGCAAATTTGGCAAAGAAAAATTTGCTAATGGAAAAGCAAACGAAAATTTCAAAAGAGAAAACAAAAAATTTGCCAAATAAAAATCTGCCTGTGGAAAGCAGACTTAGACTGGTATTAAACTGATATACAATTTATTTCTCAGCTGTTATTTGCTTAGTCTTGATTTAGATTAGGCGAGTTTACTTGCGGCAATTCTTGTCGTTCTATTTTGAACTTGCTTCATGCGTCTATACAAGGCAATTCGGTTTCCAAAATATTTCTCTATTTGTTGTTTTTTCACATTTAAATATAGATAAAATGTTAACAAATACGAAATACACAAAACGAATTGCCAGAAAATTGTCGGTGCGAGCAATTTTTTTTCATTTTTATTCCCCTTGCCCCTCTCTTCTCCAAACAAAGACTTGCCGCAAGTAAACTCGCCTAATCTAAATCAGGACTTACGTATATAGTAAAATCTCCAATAAGGATTGCGAATTTTGCGGATTATTAGTGTTTTTAATTTTTTTTTAAATTTAGTATAACATTTTAACTAAAATCTTCTATGATTTGAATAAAAACAAATCATAAAAAATTATCTTGGAATTTTGTATTTTCAAAACTCAAGTTGTCCTACATTGTATTATGTTCGTTCTTTTACTTTCCCAGTAATATTTACTTAGTAAGAATTTGCAGACAGTAAATACGAATATTTCGTTGTGAAGAGAGAATATTGCAAATAGCAAACGAACTTCCAGTAAAAAGATTGTATCGAGACAGCTGATTTAAACTATAAACAATTTGGAGCAAACAAAAAACAGCATTTTTATGTAAACTTTTTTGTTTGGATTTGGAACCTAAAAAATCGTTCGCCAAATTCTCTTGCATTACCTACTTTAATAAATATATAACTATAAATATAAAATATTTAGCAATTTTTGCCACTGAACATTTCGAAGGAAGATATTTTCACTTAAATTTTGAAAGCTGAATACTGTCAAAGGCAAATTTATGAAAAAATTGGAAACATATGACTACATGAGACTACCTAGTATTAAATCAAAATAAAATTCACAAAATAATCAATTTGCTTGAGAACATTTTTGTTGTTAGTTTATAGTACGTTTACATTTAACTGGATTTCGTTAACCCAGTGGGTTTCAATTGTCAATTTCTTTGCATATATGCCAAATATATCCTCATAAAGTAGGTTAACCCAGTAAAAAGTTATAATGTATATGCCGTTTTACAAAACATCAAAATTTTTGATCCTTCTTTTAATGTTTCAAAGTAGTAGTTTGTTGTGAAGTGGCAGCCTGTTGAGGGTATAGTGAAGTAGTTCTATTATTTTGTCTTCTCCAGTTGTCAAATTTTGCAGGAAAATTTTTACTGAGTAGATACTCAGTAGCACAACTGTCAAATCGGCTCCCTCAATACACTCTCTTTTACTGGACTTTTGGGTAAACGAACAAAAGAAGTTATCAACAAATTAAATTTATTTTGAAAATGAAATATTTTCGAATACTCAAACTAAAATTTGAAAAACCTGAATGAAAATCTATCAAATTTGCTTTTCCACAGGCAGATTTTTATTTGGCAAATTTTTTGTTTTCTCTTTTGAAATTTTCGCTTGCTTTTCCATTAGCAAATTTTTCTTTGCCAAATTTGCGAATCAAAATACAAAAGAAAGAAAATAAAAGTCAAAAGTTTTTGCATTTTAAAGATTTTTTTTTTAATATTTTATATATTTTATTATATAAATTGCAAAAATTAAAAATTAAATTTCACTTGCACAAATTAAAGCAACAGTTTTATAAACAAAATCCGGCTGTGTGTCAGTAAAGCGAATAGGTTAAAAGGAAATGTCAACAAAATTGTTTTCAACGAACAGAGCAAAGCAGAATTTGCGTGTACGGCAAATTCTGAACAGGCAAATTTTTGTTTTTCTTCCTCGCACCCCTCTCGCCTACAAACTCAGTATTTGCCAAATAAAAATTTGCCTGTGGAAAAGCAGACTATCGCTTCCACATCTTTCCTATAATTGAGCCATTGCCGCTTATATGTGTAACACATATGAAAATGCAGGGAATTGCGAGTTATTCCACGAAGGAAGATTTGCTTCCTCAAACTTTCCCGGCAGGCAGATTGAGTAAATTGAATACGGGAGCACATTTAATAAAGAACAATTTCAAATTGTATGCGTTCCTAATTTTCCTGTTGGGTGAAAAAAAAAAAACACTATTTGTCAAATTCATATTGATACTAGTATTACGTTGGAATGAAATCAGCTGGGATTTGTTGTTACCTTTTATAATTGTACCATGGAACAGACCATAAATATATCTTTCTTTAAACATGACATAAGAATAAAACCATAGCCGGCAATAAAACCATGTTGCCGCCGACAAAATGTTGTATTCCAAACTGCTTGCTACCAACCAAACAATACACCGTTATTTTGGGCACATTGAAATGAATTTTAACAAAAAATATATTTACAATTAAATGTTGTTAAAGAAATTCGATAGTCAAGCTACATATTGTTCCGAAGTGAAAATATGGAAGGTAAGAAATTATAAGATTTAATTTGTATATAATAATTATTATCGCCTACCTTTTTAGATAAGCATCAAGGAATTCGTCGTTCTCAGCGTTTATTAGCGAAACGTAAACTGATCGAATCTGTGGCGGAAATCCAACCAAAACCAATTGAAAGAAATCCATTGCACACCAAAGATTTTGTAAATACAAAACGTTCAAAATGCAACAAATTACCCAAAACACAAAATTTATTTTCACCTACTGATATCAGAGAGTACGAGGAAGGTGATATATCATTAAATCTTAAGCAAAATTCAGATAAAACACATATAGAAATATGTGGCAATGGAAAAAATACGTTTCAAAGGAAAAGAAGAAAGAAACTACTATTTACGCTTAAGAAATCCGTAAAAAAGTCAAAAAGTTTATCTCACAACAATGGAAAAACCAATGACTGTTATAAAGCGCACCTAGAGACATTAGACCAATGTCATGATATGCGCATGGACTTGTCCAAAATTAAACCAGAAAATAATTCAAATCAATATTTCAGGTAAATATTACAAAAAAGAAATTGTTTGTTACTACAAGGATCTACCACTTTTTACTACGATAACGAATTTTCCTTTATGATATCGAAGAAAATGGGATCTGGATTATCACATTAATGTTATATATGTGATTATGATGTCTGTAGGATACTATTTTAATGTAATTTAGAAATGATGTTCTACCTCTTGATTTTCGGTATTGATCAACCAATGGAATATTATAAATTATTACCATGTCTTTCATATTATCACATTAATGTTATATATTATATTTTTAATATTTTTATTGTAGTGCAGAAAAAGCTCAAATAGATGATGACAAAAAACCAAGAAATAAAAACTATTCCAACACATCGGTGGTCAATAATGATTTAGAATTGAAAAAGAATTTATCGCTCACCCTGCAGAACAAAAAAGCTATACATAAAAAGGTTTCAGATCCCCTGAAAAATAAAATAAAAACAGAAGAGACAAAAGCATCGAATTCTCGACATATTTTAACTTCAAATTTATTAGAAGCGCATCCTGAATCGTATTCTACATCCACGGTTGAGAAAAAATGTACTATCAATTCCGCTTGGACTACAAAAGAAAATAAATTTACACCCAGTTACTCTGGACAGTATATTAAAGAAGAAAATTTTACAAATACAATGCACATATCATCTAAACCCTCAACATGTCGTAAAAGGTAATTGAAAAACATAATATATTTTACATATTAAATAGATTTTATTATTTTTTCAGAGCCGGCTCAATGCCGTCCAAATCCCAAAGTCAAAAATCAGCAAACATTGAAACAACAGACAAAAAACATGTTCGCTCAAAAACGATCAACAAATCTAAATCTAAAAAAACTCATAATAAAAAGGATTCCAATTTAAAAAGTCCAAGAAACACAAATAATGCTGTAAACAGAGAATCACCTTCGAGAATAAACACATTTCCAAACCTGTACCAACCATATTTTAAATATCAACTGCCCCAGGAAGCTATGTTATTTAATCGGCGAAACACAATATCACAAACTTCAATGCTTCCCAATATTTATCCGTCACATTTTAAATATCAACTACCACCAGAAGCAGTTATAAATCAGCCACTAATTATTCAGCCACCGAATATAATAACACCGGAGGAAACACAATCATGTGATCTAAATCTGTCATCCTCATCATCTCCATCGTTGACTGAATCGTTACATGGTGTCTTTAAATTATTAGACATTGAAAAGGTTAAATATCGTTTATATGACTACCATTTAGATGCTTTGGCAATAGCACTGAAGTTACGTGTACAATATTTGCGTGATTTGATCGAAAAAATACTAAAAATGCATCCAAATGTATTGCGTAAAATGAGTACAGCCTTAAATAAAACATTTGAGCCGGACCGTGATTTGTTCGAGAGAGATACACCATCGTCTAAATTTTCATCAGATAATGAAATTATTCCTAGTAGTCAGAAAGAAAATGTGTAATAAAAAGTTATATTTGCAAAAAAAAGAAAATAGTTGTAAATTGAGATCGACCCAGGGTATAATTATTATAAGGTAGGACATAGCTAATTAAGTCAATGTGATGAAGTCCTAAAAAATACAGATATGCGTCATCACATTTGGAAACATTTTGGCCTGAATATTTTTTTCAACCGGCAACATTTTGGTCTGAACATATGGGAACGGAAACAATGGTTAAACAATTTTATCAAACCTTATGTCATTCTTATTACGTCGTCATTAAAACAGCTGATTGCATTTGTTTATTTGTTGTTCCCTACCGAAAACTATTCCAACATGCGTTTCAAATGTACACTTGGTATAATTATAAAATATTATAGTATTATAAATTCTCATAGAGGACGCTAGCCCGGCAAAAAGTTTTTTTAAGTGACTCAACAGGAACGTGTACAATTCGAAATTGTCATTTTTAAAATATTGGCTTTGTATGAAATGGCAATTTATAAAGGAATATTAGAGTCAAACTTGAATTCTCCTTTATACGTTTACAATAAAAGAAACCAATTTAACATCTCGAAGTCCCCTTATGTGTTTTTCCTCTTACTCAAAGTTATGTTTAGATTTGCGAAATCCACCTGATCTCAAATGTCAATTCCGTAGCGTATACGTCAAATATAATCCACTGGATTTGTGAACTGAATTAACGTGACGTATACGCAATGGAATTGGCGTTTGAGATCAAATGGATTTAGTAGTCTAAACGTAGTCAAAGTTAGAGAAAGCAAATCTTTCTTCACGAAATAAGTCGCAATTTCCAACATTTTCATATTATTGCACATATAAGTGGCAAGGGCTCAATTAGAGGAAATATGTGGAAGAAATATAAATATATATGTGATAAATTTTCATTCACGTTTTACAATTTTAATTTGAGGATTCCAAAACATTTCATTTTTAAAACAAATAAGTATTGCTTACAACACCAATTTCCACGTGGTTGTTGTATCGTTTGTTGTACAACAACACTTGCTGTGTTACCTTCTATTAGCTCTGTCTCTTTACTCGATATTTGGTAACAATTGTTATCAAATGTTACTAAATGTTGCCTGTTTACCAAAAAATCCGGTAAAAGAGAGCCAAGTGAGAGAGCAAGTTTGACAGTTCAACAACAACAAACTTGCTGGAGTTTACTGAAAGAATTGTATGCAGTAAGATTTTGCAAACTCAGCCATTTTTGGATCAGCTGTTTTATGAACAAACACAAAAATTATTAAATTTTTTTTTTTAATTTGCAAAGTTCAATTTGAAGTTAAGTTATATAAAAATTACATATATATTGGAAGAAAATTCGTAAGTAATGCAAAGTTTTATTAAATTAGAAACTAATTCCTTATATATTTTTAGCAAGTTCCAGATAGAGGGCAATGTATTGATGCAGGAGGGTTAAATGCTCCCGGGGAACATACCAAATCAATTTTCCTTTTATTATTAATATTAAATGCAATACAAATAATTGTGTTGCAATATCAAAACTTCCTTTGTTTGTTGTTTTTAATTCAACAGCACTTAATCTTGTATATTTATATATGCTTATATATGTTTAAAGGAATATTTTTAAAAACAAATTTCTTTCACAATCTGAAAATTTAAAAACTGAAGAAAATGACAATGTTGTCTGTTTACTTTTCTACCAGTGTTATAGCTTTTTCATTCAACAAAAAGAGAGTATAAAAAAGGTAACTAGCTATATAACTATACAATAGCAGACAATTGCTATTCATTGAACAACTGGGAATGAGTAAATGTTACTGGAAAAGTAACCAGACACACCTATTATTATACCATGGTAATTTGCTATACATTTAATTTGAGAAATAACAGCTGTTTTCCGCTTTCTGTGTTACCTTATAAATAGACCTTGCCTTATGACATTTGTTTTACGTTGTCATTAAAGCGCGCAATACCGGTATAAAACAGCTGATTGCAATTGTTTATTAAAAAACAAGGCGCTCGCACGTGTTCCAATTTGTTTATTTGTAACATTACATTAATTAATTAAATTAAGTCCTGAATTAAAGACAAGACAAAATGCATTTTGATAAAAACAATAGTGCCACCGAAAACCCACCTGCTAATGATTCTCTAGAGACAGTAACTCAGGAAGGCACAAAACGGCGAACAGTTGTGGGGCCGTGGAAAAATGTGTAAGTTCATTGTTCGCGTGTTTTCGTTTTGATACTTAAATAATTTGTATTTTTTATAAAAATTCTCATTTAGTTCCGAATTTAACAAAGTATATGAATGGTTATTTGGTGAAAACTATTCGGCAGCAACGAGGCAACAAGCACTTTCTCAGATTCGCATTTGGAATTTGAGACGCAGTACACAATGTCCGGCAGCTGTTTTGGCGACAGCTGTCATTGTCGAAGTTCAGCAAAAAGATCACCCCGAAACAATATATTCCGCAGAAGATTTACAGACTTTGTATGCGAATGCATTTACCCGATTCTTCAATTTCATGTCGTCAATAATGCAAACGCATAACATGCGAACAATGTATCAAACTGCCAAAGAATTGGGTTTGGAATCGTTTGTGGTGGATTTGCGACACATCTGTGCCCACGGTCAGGTATTGCCTCCGTTACAGGTGTTGAGAAACACAGCAGAATATTGTATTGTTTGGTTACACGATTACTACTGGCGATCGCAGCTGGATAGTATGTGTGATGTTGATGCAACACGTATCAGGCGTAAAGACAGAACTGAACTTGATGACAAGGTATCTGCACTTTTTGAACTGTACGATACCGCCTTGGAGGGACATATGAAGGGGGCCACTAATATGAAGACACTGAAACGCCATGTACATGGAAAACGTTTTCACAGCCTAAAGGAATACTATCAGCAAAACAATTTCGAAAAATTGCAAGATATTTTCGATCACATTGCCAAGGAACTATATGCTTTGGTGAAACGTGATGTTATCATTAAAGATGTATCGACAATCTATATTGGAGCTCTATTACGTATGCGTTATTTTTTCTCTGTGTCCAATATTGATGATTCCGCTAAAGAATTGGAATCTTTAATTACCGTCAATCAAACATTATTCCGCATGTTAGCCATACACGGGTTTTTGGATGATTTATTCTATGCATTAATTGATATTGCTGAAAGTCCAATTGTTGAGGCTAATAAGAGAGCATCGGCAAGCTTCTGGGCGGTGCAAATAGTTAAAGGTTTCAAAGCATTTCGCCAATGCAAACAAATGTACAAAGCCGAAATGGATGAGGTATGATTATATTTGAAAAAAAATATTTGTATAGTTAGTAATCATATTTTTCTTTTTGTTTTAGAATACCGCAATTAGAGAGCCATCATTTTCTCTAAATAATTTAACAGAAATATCGGAGGGTACCCGAGAATTGTATATATATAGCGGTGTTGGTATGAAGAAAACCTTACTTTTTGGTGATAATTTCCGACGACCATGGGTGTGGGTATTTGAACGAGATTTCCTGGAAGAACGTCTTGAGGCAGCCAACGAATATACCGCACCCATTCTGAAGGGGTAGGTACAATTTGGAATATGTAATTACAGAATTTCTGGAAAGTTTTCTTTAATATTTTTATGCTAAACGTTTTAGTCGTGTTTGGATCATATGGTATCTAAATAATTTTGGACCACAATTCTTGAGTAAATATTCGTATATTCTACAATTATGTTTATAAGCCGAAAATAGTCGGATTATTTTTTGAATATTAAATTTGATACACATTTGAAATGACTAAGGGCGTGTCGGTTTTTTGGGTTGCTCAACACTCAGTATAGCGTAAACAGTGGCTTTATTATTTAGAAAATAATAGTATTTATCCTGATTTCATCGTCATTACAAGGAATCCGTCAGTTATGTTTATCTGAAGCAGATATGTAGTAATATCTCAGTCCACGTTTTGTACAACCACCTATGTATACAGCTCTCAATTTGTTAAACGATTAGCCACAATTTTCAAACCCCATACTGGGAATCCGTATTCCTGGAGAATAAAAATCGTTATCACGGAAAATGTTGAGAATTTTCCTATAGTAAAACATTGAGGATTTTCAGAGGATAAAATACATCCTGTAGCTCAATATTTTACCATAGCCCTCAGGCTCCTGCCCGATTTTAGATATTTCCAACCTCCCATTCAATTTTACCTTTGATCACTGTCGTAATTCCTAAGTGTCAGCATTGTAGTTTCTCAAATGATAAAAAACTCTTGACAGAAAAAATTCCCATTAAAATGTCCGACCGAAATCGCCTCCTCATGGGGGAGACTATAAATAATCGATATTTAACGACATTTAAATATTCGTTATAATATAATTTAATTTTTATTTACTTCTATTTTTATTTTTTAGCATATTACCACTTATCGTACCGGAATTAAGTGGCACTGAAGTGCAAACTTTTAGCGAATTAATCGATTGCTATTTTAATGCAAATATTGAGGCTGATAATGAAAAATCTAAAAAATCTCCTAAAGAAAATAATGATGTCTACACTGCCGAGGATTTATTAAATAAACTGAAAAATAATGAGATAACAAAAATGGATGTAGAAGAAATAGATGAAGATGTTGGACAAAATTGTGGTAATTTTAATACCTATGGACTATGGACAGAAGTTGAAGGTACGCAAGAAAAATATACATACACATATATTTTTTTAAATGTCTAAAATTGTTTATTTTGTTTTAATATAGATGATGATTGGAAATCAAGTCCATTGGGACGTGTACCATGGGAATTGTAAAGACAATATAATTTCATGTATACATATATAGATTGTGATGTTAAATATTTTGCATTTGTTTTTATATTAAAATATAAATTATACAAAATAAATTACTTGCGAGTAATTGCATAATGTAACAGAATAGTTTTATTATTTCCTTTATTTATTGATAAAATATCATTTTTTTTATAATTTAAGTACAATATCTCAAAATAACACTATTCAGTAATTAATAAAACAAAAAAGTATGACAATTTTCTGTTTGGGTATATACATACATATTTATTTTATACTACTTGTTTTCATTAGTATTTTATTCTCCTGCTTAATATTCTCAACATCATCGTTCATACCATTTTCATGTACTGCAGAACTTGAATATCCAGCATTCCACGGCTGTAATGAGGAATCGGCAAATAGTAAGTACAATGTTCCACATGCAATTAGTACACCAGCAGTTATCAGAAAGACATTTCTCCAAGCCTCAAATGTTTGCTAAGAAAAATTAGAAAATAAAAGATATAATGGTATGGGGTTATAACTTATAACTTACTTACATTCTCAAAGGTCACAACACCCACAATATAGGCCGAGATAAAACCAGGCATACTACCAACAGTACCACAGAGACCCGATATTATGCCGGCAAAATTTGGTGCTATATCTACCATCGATGACAGTGGTCCAGATGTTCCAGAACCTTGAAACATAACAGCCAGCGAAATAAATGTTATGGCCAATATGGGATTGGTGCCAAAATATGCCAAGGCAATCATCATCACGGCGTTGAGCAAACAACCTTTAAATGGAAAAACATTTACATTAATTTAGTTGTAATATAATGAAACAGCCGATTTTGTCAAAACATTACGCATCTTAATATACTTTCGAAACCTAGATAAAGGTAGAAATTATCGGTCCACTTCCTTCTCATAAAATGATGTACATTTTAGGAAAAATTAATATTACCCGCAGTACGTTTTTATACCATCTACCATAGTATGGGGGGTATATTAAATTTGTCATTCCGTTTGTAACTCATCGAAATATTCATTTCCGACCCTATAATCTGGATCAGGATGAAATTGTAAGACGATCTAGCCATGTTCGTCCGTCCGTACGTTCGTCCGTCTGTTGTAATCACTCTATCTTCTGAAGGATTTGAGATAGGGTTCTGAAATTTTGCATCGGGTTGTCTCTTGTCTGCAGCAGGTTAAGTTCGAAGATGAGCTATATCGGTCCACGTTTAGGCATAGGTCCCATATAACGGCACCCCTAAATTTTCTGTATTTTGCGGTCAACCGAATTGACTGAAATTTGGTACAATGGGATCAAATTGGGTACTAAATGTCTACACAAAAAATTATGAATATAGGTCCACTTTTTCTGGTAGCCCCCATATAACGATACCTCCAATTTTCGGTAATTTGGGGTTCTTAAGCGCGTTTTTCAAGCGAATTCGCTGAAATTCGGCACATTGGGTTCTTATTGGGTACCAAATCTTTCCATCAAAAATTATTTAAAATAGATCCACTTTTTCCGGTAGCCGCCATATAACGGATCCCCCAATTTTCGATATTTTGAGGCATTGAGCGTGTTTTTCAACCGAATTCGCTGTAATATTGTATTTTGTAGTCGTATTTGGTAACAAATCTCCCTCCATTCGGGAGTTGTCCCCATATAACCAACTTTTTTATACTAAAATAGTTAACTGATTTTTACACGTTTTGGGTTGTCTTCCAACATAGTATGGGGGATATTCTGTACTCGGAATTGTATATTTATACCCTACAAAGTATGGAATTCTAAGAAGATTTTGTCGAGTTAAATATCTGTGTTAAAATCATTCTACCTTCGGACGTTATCGAAATAGTAATCTGGTTGGTGGATACCATATATCGCCCTGCTAAATGCCTAAATGGAGGTATTATGAAGGAGGTATTGTGTAAATTGCAGTATTTGGAGGACACATTCTCCACCCCATAAATGCGTTTTAGGGTTTTGAGATTTTATGAAAATCACTTCAAGGTGTACTACCTTAAATTATTGTACCCCGCAAATTGTTCACATTCTTAAATTCCTATATCTGATAAAATGCGAAATGGGTCTCCTCCACTATAAGGTCAGGAACTTCACTTTTCCAATAAAAACCAGTAAGGAAAGTTCAAAAGTCGGACGGGGCCGATTATATGATACCCTTCACCACTTTGGCTACATACAAGAGATGTTAATATCTACAAAATCCTGTAGATAGAACTGACATAGAATTTAATAGAAATTAAATGTGCTATCTAGGTAGATATTTGAACCAATTGAAAAAACCCCATACACATACCATTCTGAAATCAATGAAAAATTGCATTGCAAACGGTCAGACCATGAGTAAAATTATGTATGGGAGCTATATATAAACACATGGACCTAATTGAGCAACCGTTGCATACACCATTTGTGTTTTGTTATCACTCTACATTCAATCTAATACCTTCTGCTAAATTTCGTGTAAATCTAAATCTGAACCGATTTTAACAAAACTTCGCAGACATCCGTCTAGGCTTAATTCAGTACTCTGTGCTGAATTTTGTCCCAATCGGACAAATATTGGGAGTTTGGTGTATCATTCACAAAAATCGGACGAAACTATATATGGGAGCTATATCTAAATTTGAACCAATTTAAACAAAACTTCGCAGACATCAGTCTGGACCTTATTCAGTAGTCTGTGCAAAATTTTGTCTCAATCGGACAAATATTGGGAGCTTGTTGCATTATTCACATAAAATTGGACGAAACTATATATAGGATCTATATCTAAATCTGAACCGATTTTCTTTCAATTTCAATAGGGTTCGTTCTTGGGCCAAATAAGTGAGCTGTGCCAAATTTCATCTAAATCGGATCATAAATGCGACCTGTACTTTGTTCACAAAAATACATGGACGTACGGACACACGGACGGATGGGTAAATCGACTCAGAAAGTAATTCTATGCATATTCTTAAAAGGAACCATGGGTCTATCTCGATTCCTTTTGCCTGTTACAAACATATGCACAAAGACATAATATCCTGTACCACATTGTGGTGAAGGGTATAATGATTATAATTTCTGGAGGATTGATTAGTACCCTAGGAAATAACGATTACTTACATATTGATGTTGCAAATTTTCGAACATTTGTACGACTCATTTTATTATTACGCAATAGAAAATCGGCAAATATTGAAAAAGAATAGGCGAATAACATTCGTAGAATATGTGGGAATCCAGAGAAGACACCAGTCTGAAATGAAATCAATAAATACAATGGAGATATAAAAAAAGGCAATCGATTTGTTAATGGATGTTGTTCGCTAACTCCAAAATACAGAAAAAGAGATCGAAATCCGAAAGAGCAAAGCCCACTGGAAAAGTTATCGAATATAACCATTACAAAAATTGATATATGTTAATACATACCGCTCTTATATCCCAGTTATGAATTATTTTAAAATATGTTGGCGCCTGAGTCATTACGGTAAATATACTCCATGTGCCACCCCATTGTCCAATTACATTCATCCACACGGGTCTTGATGTAAATATGGCGAACCATGGCGTTTTTAGATTATGACTATTTTGTACCGAACTTCCCAGTGATCTTTCAATATAAGCCAATTCTTTGGGACTAATTCGTGGATGTTGGGCCGGTGTATCATAGACTAAATATAACCAGGCAAACCACCATAAGGTGCCCACAATTCCTGTTATGTGAAATACCCAAATCCACGAAAACCAATGTATTACACAGGCAAACAGAGGATATGCCAGCGCTAAGCCTACAGCACTACCAAAATAGGCTGTAATAAATTTACTTCGCTCATTCGGTGGTATCCATTTGCCAGCCATATGGTGCATAGCTGGCCAGGTTAGACCCTAAGAGACAACAAAATTATATAATTAGATAAATGAATTATATGTGTTTATATGTAATTACAGTCAGTAAACCTTGTAAGATCCTTGTTAGGAGGAGTGCCTTAAAGTCCACAAAACAAGCCAAGGGAATTAGAAAGCATATCCAACAGCTAATAACATTTGACAGACCGAACACCAATTTTGTACCATATCTTTTGGCCAATATACCGCCAGGTATTTGTGTTAACCAATATGTCCAGTAAAATGAACCCAAAGCCATAGCCTGTTGATGTTCGTTCCATTGGAATTTTCTTGACCCAGGAGATTCCTGCAAAAAGAGGGTTGTAATTATTTCTGAGAGAGTTTGTTTAAAAACTATTTTTAATTATACCCTTCACCACACTGTGGTACAGGGTATTATGTCTTTGTGCATATGTTTGTAACAGGCAAAAATAATCGAGATAGACCCATGGTTCCTTTTGAGAATATGCATAGAATCACATTCTGAGTCGATTTACGCATGTCCGTCTGTCCGTCCGTCCGTCCGTCCGTCTGTCCGTCTGTCCGTCTGTCCGTCCATGTATTTTTGTGAACAAAGTACAGGTCGCATTTATGATCCGATTTGAATGAAATTTGGCACAGATTACTTAATTGGCCCAAGGACGAACCCTATTGAAATTGGAGAAAATCGGTCGACGTATAGGCATAGCTCCCATAAAAGGGTACCCCCAAATTTTCGGTATTTTGAGGTTCTTGAGCGCGTTTTTTAATTGAATTCGCTGAAATTTGGTACTTTGAGTTCTTATTGGGTAGCAAATCTCCCTATCAAAAATTATAAATAAAGGTCCATTTTTTCGGAGAGCCCCCATATAAGGGTACCCCCAATTTTCGGTATTTTCGGGTTCTTGGGCACGTTTTATAACGGAATTCTCTGAAATTTTGTACATTGGGTTCTTATTGGGTACCAAATTACTCCACTAAACATTATAAAAATAGGTCCAGTTTTTCTGGTAGTCCCCATATAACGGTACCCCCAAATTTTTGGTATTTTGGGGGTTCTGATCGTATTTTTCGACCGAATTGACTGTAATTTAGTTAGTCGAGTTCTTATTAGGTAGCAAATC